TGGCTTTCATACCTCACTATCTGGTTTGCATGGGGTCATAATGTGGTCTTCCATCTATTGCCATGATTTAATTTTGCCTTTTATTGAATAAAGGTTGACATCAGGGATATTGAAGACCTTGTTTCACTTGGAAAAGAGCTTCAGTCTTGTCCATACTATGGAACTCGACATGCTATTCCAGCAGCCCAGGTAACATAATAAACTGTACTGTTTCATACTATGATACTAAAGTCCAAGTAACACCTGCCAATAGACACTGTTGATATCGATTGTCAATTTTGTACAACCTATTACTACATGTATTATTATTGGAGACTGTTACTTGGAACTTGCAGTTAATTATAATTGTTTTTTGGTTTATTGTTTGTTCTCATTACTTTTAGTTGGTATGTCTTCCTTATAACATTCTCTTAAGCAAAGCCACTCGTCAAGCTTCAGGAATCAAGCTGGAGGGTAATGTGGTGATTATTGATGAGGCACACAACCTACTTGAGACAATCAACAACATTCACTCTGTTGAGATAACTGGTGCACAGGTTGGTGATAAGTCAGTAGTTTACTATAATAATATTATTATAATAAATGCTTGATGAAGTGCAAGACAAAAATTGTTTTGTGTTAGTAATAGAAACAAACTGTCAGAGAAGACTATCTGAAAATTTGTTACCCTATTCATTTGGTAAATACATGTAAAGTCTCATAATTCAAAGACTTTAAAGGTACTCCAGAATGCATGGATCTCTCAGCCCCTGTGCAAGCCCTGCTGGAAAGTCAAAAGTCAAAATTTGCTTGCAAAAAAAATATCTGTAATGAAACATACTGTACATTTTACACAAAATTGAAAGCCTGTCGATGAAGAAAATTAAGTGTTGATTATTGCTTGATGCAGATAAGTGCTTGCATATCTCAGCTGTCAAAGTACCTGGATAGATACAGGTATTGTAATACTATAGCAATTGGGAAATATTGGTGTTAGATGACTAGTAAAGAGATTGACAATAAATGCGTGTTGGTAATAGATCATTCAGAGATCAATCATGAACTTAAAATACATTCTATATGGTGACAGCAACTGTCTATTACACTTATATAAGCACATGTATTACACTTAAAAAAGCTTTAAAGACCTGGCTTTTTCTACAGGCATATTAACTTCCTTTTTAAGTATTTTATAAGATATAAATTTAAGATCTGTCTTTTTATATTTATATATTCTTAATACGTATATGTTGAAATGTTAAAAAAGTATCAAAAAAAAGTATTAGTATTGAAGTCAATGTCATTATTATTGCTATATTGTTTACTCTTTTACAAGTTTTATTGTTATTCAATTCTTATTACTGTAAAGCGCATAATGAACTTATGGATATTTGCGCTATATAAATAGCACATTATTATTATTATTATTATTATTATTATTATTATTATTATTATTATTATTATTGTTATTGTTATTGTTATTGTTATTATTATTATTATTATTATTATTATTATTATTATTATTATATATTAAATCATGTTTTCTTTCAGGACAAGACTAAAAGCTTCTAATGTGATGTATATAAAACAGCTTCTATTTATACTGAAAAACTTTCTTTCTTACCTGGGAGGTACAGCTAATATTATTATTGAAATCATGTGGCAATATATATGTTATACAACATGTTAATGTTACATTAATTAATAAAACAGATAGCAAAAGAAGCTTATTTTCCTTTCAGGTGAGGAAACTTGTCATAAACAGGCTAAAAACACAAACGGTATGTCCAATCAGTAGCCTGTGTACATCCGTTTCTCACCCCTCCAAAAAAATCGGGGAGAGAACAGATGTACATGTAGACAGGCTYTCCAATCAGTGGCAAGTACACAATGAAAGTTGTACTCATTTTGACATTATTATTCTACCCTCTTATTGTAGATACGAAACTTCACAAGATTAACGATTTCACATTTATTACTCAAATTGATAATGTAAATATGTTTAAGGTAAGGCACAATGTACATACCGATCAAAATAGGTGACTAGGGAATATTTCTTCTCTCAGATCTCTGGTTTGATTCTTTTATTGAATGCTAATTGACTGATTACTATCATATGTTATTGATTGTAAGATTTGTAGATTTTGTCAAAACACCATGATCTCTAAAAAGGTACATCGCATTTACAAAGTTTATATTAATTTTGTGTATATTTATATAAAATTTTATTTTATATTAAGTTGAATGGATTTGTGGACAGGTACAGAGAACAGTATCAGTCTAAAGGTAAAAAGAAATCAAATTTCAAATGACTGTAATATTATAGGGGTTATCAAACTTCACAAATGCTCACTCTTCATTACACAGATATTGATGTCACTGCAAGTGATGAACTTCACAGTTTTACGTCACCAATGCACATAATTGAGAACTTCCTGGAATCTCTTACTAATGCAGATTTAGATGGGAGAGTGGTTGTCAGTAAAGTGGGTAAGTTTACTTCTTGAAAAATGGGTCTAGGAGTGTTCAATTATGGTTCAAAAGACTTTTAGGGTTTGAAATGCGATACTGGCTTACCTTCATGAGTCATACTTGTCGCTTTGAGACGAAAAAAAAAGCAATTCAAATGTCATAAACAAAACCGTTTTATTACCTACAGTGAAATTGCTGTTAACTATATTTATTTCATGTGTTGGTACCTTTTAGGTTCTGATCGAACTCAGTTCATTTCTAGTATGCGTACCTTTTTTAATAGGGCATAGTTAATAGACTTATAGTTCATAGTTATTAACTATGAATAGGGTTACTTTTTTAAAAGGCACGCCCTCTGAGGTTAGGCTAGTAGTTTGCCACCTACATAAATATACTCTGATATGAATTCTAACAGGGCCCAGCATCTTTACTWAACTACATGTACCATATTTTGTGTGATCATTTGAAGTTGTCAAAGGCAGTGCAGTCTTCTGAAAGTTATACCCTGCGAWCAGAGTGTATATTAAATTCGCGAATTTTTTACTGAGGTAAGGTAAATAACACTCTGTTCGCAGGGTACTGAAATTTAATATGTTGTTTAATAATTCTGATTAAAGAGCCTATCCGCATGGCTTAGGGCCTTATTTSTCATGATAACAGTGTGGTCACATGATTGTGCTCAATTAGATGAACGTCACTGAAGCATGTTTCTGAATTAGGTAGTACGCACTTATCCAGAATGAAGTTTCTTTTGCTAAATCCTGCCGTTCATTTTAAAAGTGTTGCTGAGGAAAGTAGAGCAGTCATAGTGGCGGGAGGAACCATGCAACCAGTATGTGAAACACCTAGTTGTTGTATATTTGAGGTTGCAGCAATTAAAGGCGATGACGCTCTCAATATAGCTTTTCTCTTTCTTTTCATATACTACCTTGGCTCTCACCATTCCAGACATCAGAATTTAAAGATCAATTGTTTGCTTGTGTTGGTATCAATCCAGAGAAAATCCACGAGTTCTCATGTGGTAAGGTCATTGTGCTTCGTTCACCGCTGACTCAATTTATTATCTTGACARTTTCTCCTCTTTACAGGTCATATTATCCCACATGATCAGCTGCTGCCTCTTGCCGTGGAAAAAGGACCATCAGGTCAACAGTTTGACTTTTCGTTTCAGTGCAGAGACTCACCTCAATTGGTAACGAGAAATTCATATGTTTATTTTGTAGAATCACCTTTGCTGTTATWATCATAGGCATCATTCATAGCGATCACTGACTGGCATCGTTTTGGCACCTTTTGCATTTTTAATCTAGATAAATGAGTGCGGCCGTCTTTTGTTAAATATGTGCACGGTCATACCTGGAGGTATGGTTTGTTTCTTTTCTTCATTCGACTACGCTAATAAAGCTTACTCTAACTGGGAGAAGTCAGGACTCTTGGAAAAACTGAACTCAAAAAAYAAGGTAGATTTGGTTAGTCAATTATTATATGAGATCGCACACATCTAAAGTGTCTAATTCTTCTTTCTTTCAAGGTTTTTCAAGAGCCGCGGAAAGCAAATAAGTTGGAGTTTATTCTGAATTCATATTCAGAGTGTGTTAAGGTAAGAAGGATCAAAACACTTCACTTCAAGTTCCATCATAAGCAAAGTAGACTTCACCTTCTATCGCGTTTAAATAGATTCCGCACCCTAAGGCTTTGCAAATAACAGCTTCTGTAAGCTTCAACACAGTACATTGAAAGCAATAAAACAGCTAAAACTATTTCACCGATCTGAAGCCCTCTAATGTAAACCTACATTGGAAATAAATGAAAGTTATAGTCACTTAGAAGGATGTTATTCCGGGCGAAATTCCAAATTCATTCTAAGGTTCTTTCGCCCGGAATAACCTCCTTCTAAGCACTATAACTTTCCTTGTATTTCCATTTTATGCATGCAGGATTGCCGACTATAGCTTTGCTAGATTCGGCTGCAAACGCCAGCGAAACCCATATGACCATTACCTCATAAGTTYCAATAATGCAATTAACAATTCAATTAAACTCGGCAAAGCAACTTTCTAATAAGGTCATTTCTCTCCAACTTCGTTTATGACAATCGAAGAGAAAACTTGGCAATTATAGTTTACGTTTCATCAGATTTGAATCCCCTTATTTGTCTTGACCAACTGATGACAACGCGCTGGACATGATTTGTTAGAGAGCATTTCATCAAAAAGGGCGTTTACAGTTATGTAGACATGAATATACTTCGAGGTTTGCATAGGTCTTTTTATTCAAATTATCAATTTAGATTAAAATATCTTTACAGAAGTCTAGCGGTGCTTTGCTTCTCAGTGTCGTTGGTGGGAAAATGAGTGAAGGGATCAACTTTTCTGACGATTTGGGAAGGTAACGTCCTTCTGTGTACCCGTATTTATGTGAGCCATTAGTCTATATAATATAAAACAATAATGTAAAATAACACACGTAGCTTTATAACTGTTGAATCCGGAACGTATTAATTATCATTCTCTCTCATATGATGTACGTTTAAGTCTATGAAGTTTTTTTTTTAAATAGTCGTGTGTGATATTCTGTTMGGTTAGGATTTTACTYTGACACAGGCGCATTGATAGTGTTTTGTTGTTCACTTGTAGATGTGTGGTGATGATTGGTTTGCCTTATCCAAATATCACCAGCCCTGAACTGCGAGAGAAAATGAATTACTTGAACYCAACAGTTGGGGTAAGTTCAGGTGATATGTGCATGCTACCCTTTGACTATCTTTGTTTCACGACATTTTGGAAGCCAGTCTTTATTCACTTTGCACAATAATTGTGCATACAGCTATTTCAAAAATGTCAAATATAATGAATATGTATCCATGATCGAAATGTATTCGCCTGGTCATTCAGAAGGAAAGCAATTAAGTTAAGAATGGCCATTTTGTGAAGGCCGAATTAGACGACACAAAACTTTTGCTAACAACAATCGCATGTGCGAGCTAGTCATCATTACAACATGGCTACAACATTTTAACATGGCTACAACTGTCGTGGGGCTGTCAAGCACTGAATTGTTTTAAATCCCTACAACAGATGTATCGCCTCATGTAAGAGAATCCGGAATCCACGTATCCTGGAATATCAATGTTTCAGATTCCGGAATCCAGCGCTTGGAATCCGGAATCCTCTAGTTCTCTGGATTCTCTTACATGGGGCGAGGTAGCCATGTTGTAAGGATGACTTACGCACAGGGACCGCGTTTCAGGGGGGCTTGGGGATACAACCGCGGCTCCAATAATTTTTACGCCATTTTCTTAAACAAAGAAGCGAGGAGCCTCCTTATGAAATTTCACCATATATTCTATGAAGATTGTGTAAAAACTGAGCGTGAATAATTAAATTGAAGATTTTTTGCGAATCCTTTGTAATTTTATTGAATATCGTGTYACCGTGTGTCCAGTTTTAGTGATCAGAAATGTGTATTGGATAACGCCTCAACGGTGGAAATGCCATTTCCGAGAGTTAAGATTTCAAAATTTTCCGGGGGGAATACCACTGGATCCCCCTAGTACCTCCTGCCCTTCGGCAGCCCCTAGTTTCTKCAAACAAATTCCCGCCCCGCGGTCCCTGACGCCGGTAGGTTTCATACGATGGTTGTAAGCAACAGTTGTGTGCCGTCTAATTGGGACTTAACAAAGCCATGTAACGTGGAGTTAAATAGCAACAAAGCATTGCGGTCTCAGATTGTACAGTATCACAGGCWTTGACAGTATTCAACATTAGGTGTATAAACTGGTTTCTATAAACTTATGAGGCATTGTACATTGTCGACCAACTGACTTAATGAATTGTCAATGCTTTCACTGTAGGCCAATGCCGGTCAGGAGTATTATGACAATCTTTGTATGAAAGCAGTTAACCAATCAATAGGTATGTAATTTTGTAGTTTTACAAAATCTCGAAAACATTTGAGAGAAAAACGTCGATTTCAGCCCCTATCTACATCTAGCATGTTATCGAGGGCTTGCACTAATAACAGAGTTATGCACATTATGCATCTATAAACTGGTAGGAGTCTTAGCAACGAAACTTTATGTTTTTAGGTCGTGCTATTCGTCATCGGGAAGATTATGCAACTATTTTGCTGCTAGATTATCGATATAGTACGCCTAAAGTTTGTCGCAAGTTGCCTTCCTGGATTGGAAACAGAGTGGAACATCACGTGCGATTCGCAACGGCTTATGGGGCTGTGCGGAAGGTAAATCAATTGATCATAATTAAATTCTGCAAAATATGATTGGAAATACCGTATACAGCAAGCAGATTATGAAAAGATTGTCAACCTWATAAGATATTTCTAATGTGTTTTGTACAATTAAAGTGATCTAGAATGCCAGGTGTAATTTATAGTGTAAAAATGAGAAGGTATTTTAAAAATTCTACGTTGATATTAGAAAATGTTCCACGTAATATATACAATATGAGCGGGCGATCTGTATGTAATATACAACTCTCTTCATTGGCTATGATTTCTATTGTGTTTTGCCTTATGAGTTTTATAAGTGCAGAAACTGAACATATATCAAGAGACGTGCGGACAATTGAAACATTCGAAGTGGGTTGACAACCTGTTCAAGATCGGCTGTATTTAATAAATAATTACTGAGGCACGCAGCATTCGTAGGTATAATGCAGGCAGCTGAGGGCGCACGGATATTATCAAAATCCAATTGTTTTCTTTCTAGCTTACTTGTATATCATAGGAGCAATGCCAATTAGAGAGTTTAAGCATCACGTMAACGGCAAATGGCTAACGGCAGAGCTGACTTAAGAATTTTGTGCCCGATCTTATGCTTTTGGTAGTCATTGGAAAGAGCGGCTTTTCACGATTATGGCGAACTCAAAATAACCCACTCTCGCGTTGAAACTGCAACGTTAAACTCTAAAAAAGCAGGTCACGTGATCTTTTTTTGCCGTTTGCCGTGAACGTCATGCTAAACCTCTCTAATAAACTTCGAATTAGATTTTTTTTAAGTCGTGAATTGGATCACAATAACGGCTAAATAAATTGTCAAAAAATTGTCACAAAATAGCCTGAGTTGCAGCTAAAAATCAACAAAAACAACGAGAAAACATGCAAAATTGTGCCAAATTATAAATTCAAAACCATGTGAGCATGCGTTGCCTTTTCAGTATATGGAACATAATGTCCCACACGTATGGGAGCTAAAGTTTAGCATAAGACTCGATACTAAATCCGATTATTTCTAAATGGGTGCTGGGTCTTTGTAAGGACTGATAAGTAGTTTCCTAAAAAATTCTTTCATCCTTTAAGTCCGGCAAGCCATTCTGCAATATTTTCAATATTGTTGTATTATCTGTTTTGAAGCAGACAGTAATATTTTCAATATTGCAGCTGGCCAACCTGTTTCTGTCTGCATTCGTTGGTCTTATGCAGAGGGAAAACAATGGGTCGATATCAGTAATTATTCAGTAATGAAATGGCGATAGTTAACACTGCTGAAACATGTTGTGTGTAGCTTTACTAATGCTAATTGGAAAAAGGTTTACTGACTGCTCTTTTCTCTGTTTCAGTTCTTTGTCAACAAAAAGTGATAACGTGCAGATATAGCAGACTGTAACACTGATATTTTGAAAATTGTTTGAATGTGTACATTGTTACGTCCGTCGCTCGTGGATGGGTTATCATCTGTTTGTTTGT